AACGAATTTATTAATATATGTCTAACCAGTTGGAAAAATGTTTCGGGAGGGAAAATGGGTTTTAAAGTTTTATAGTCATTTGCAAGCGACCGTAGATAATTCGATAAAAGCTTTTAAAAAAGTTCACGAATAGTTTGAGTTTGAATATAATTATTGAGAAACATATTTTTGTAATATTATTTTACATTGAAAGAATGTAAAAAAAAAAAAAAAAATAAAAAAAAAAACTAAAATATGTCAATTTATTGAAAACTGTCACAATTATTGTACTTTTTTTTTTTCCCGTATGAAACGTATCAAGTGTGTGATTGTTTGTATCGAAAAGGATAAAAAGGTAATAATAATTAATACAAATGTTTGTCATCATTATCTTTTGTTACGAAACAATAGCTTACAGACGTTGTTCTATCGGTGAATTGCATTTTTATAATTCTTATTTTAACCTTATTTATTTACAGAAATATACCTATATATACTTATATGTATAGAATCGGCGTAGTTCGTAATTTTCATTTTCGTAAAATTTTTGGTCTCGCAACTTTATCGTCTTTGATTAGGGACGAGTAAAGCTTTACAATAACGAGTAATAAATGTGAAAATGAACCGCAACTTGATATCGGTTTCACAATTACACATCCATTAAAAGAGTTACGTTACCCTAGGCCACTATTCGTATCGTTTAGTATAAAGTATGTAAAATACATTATGTTCAAATGCGTTTTCCAATCGCTCTGTAAACTTTCATAGAACGTATTTACGTACTAATGTATATATATATATATATATATATATATATATATATGTGTGTGTGTGTGTGTGTGTGTGTGTATATACGTACGTTTGTGTATTATACTACGTAGAACATTTGGACTCTTGACGGTAAATTAAATGAATTTTAAGAAAGTTTCGGGTAAACGTATTTTACTTCACTCGTAAAATCGTTCGCTTAATGTTAATCGAGTCTCATTGATGGAGCACACGCTACCGATAAGCGTGCAAACTTTCGTCGTAACTGAGAACCATTCGAGAGTAATGTAAGTACGTATGTATATATACGTATATTCTATCCCATATATACAGTACATAATACATATATATATATATATATATATATATATATAAATGTACGTAAAATGTTATAAATGACAAATTTTCAAAGAATATAAAAATGACTGAGCAATTTGCATAGTGGAAATATCATTGGTAATGTCACATTGTTTAATTGTTAACCAGTAATTTCATAACTTATATATATATATATGCGTTAAAAGGTACGTAAATACGTTCATGTACGCGCAAGATGAGCGATGATATTTCACGCTTAAAAACAATTTACATAGATTCATAAAAATGGCCATTAAGATAATTTTTGAACATAGCATGTGTAATATTCCACGCAATGTTTTGTCACTGTAAAATAATATATTCCGTCAGAGTAAAAAGTAAAATAAAAAAAAATAAAATAAAATAAAAATAAAAATTAGTAATAGCCAAAATCAGAGATGGTCCCCCACCGACGCAGTGTGGTTCTGTGAAAAATAAATAAAGTGAATAAATCAGAGATAAAATGAGACCGAACGTGTGTGTTTTGAAAAATCTCTTGACAGGTGTATACACGTCGAATAAATATTCTATATTCCGCTTTTTACCTTTGCTAAATTGTGCATATAGGGATATTAAATAGTTTACAAAATATTTTCTGTCAGAAAACGCGTATTTCTGTTGTTGTTGTTGTTGTTGTTGTTGTTGTTGTTGTTGTTTGTATTTCACGGTATTTCAACATTTTTTTTTTCTTTCTTTTTGTTTAGAATTCTCGAAAGAACGAAAAAAAAAAAAACAAAAAAAAAACACAACTCGTTTTGCAAATGAGTACCGTATAAACAACGAGATAATGATCTTCGTTCTGGTGATACGATTTACAATTCGCGAAGTTTCTGAATGAGTCTAATTCCTCGAATGAAGTATAATGAAAGTCATTTTTTTTTTTTTAATTCTTTTCAAATAATTCGTTTGAAAATGATTTTGATAATTAAAGTTATGAGTCGGAGGAAATAAATAAGTTAAGTACGAGACGTATACAGTAGGTAAATGTAGACTATGTGTCGAGTGGTATAAGAAGACACACACGAAAATAATAAAAAAAAAACGTGTTAATGAACTTTTGTCAAAGTAGTCGAGTATGTGTTTTCTTTCTTCTTGTTGTTGTTGTTGTTTTTTTTTCATTGTTCTAACATACGTGAACTTTCATTTTCCAACTTTAACAATTGCGAGAACCGCGACAAAGGTGGTTTGTTGGTTGACTTCTCAGGATTCTTTGTTTTTTTTATTCTTTTTTTCTTTAAACTAACAATCTCCGAAAAATGTCACTTTGCACATGAGAAATAACAAGGATTCCTTCCTGACTTCTGGACTAAACTGGACCTTTTCACTTATTAAAGTTTCAAATTTTAACTTGAAGTAATTTTTTTCGTATTTCTTTTTCATTTTTTTTCTTTTTTTTTCTTATGTTAGATAATAATAAAAATATTGGCAGTGACAAATAAAAGTGGACTTCTTTTTCAAATGCGCTCCACTTTGACATTGAGATTGGCAAATGGATCATCGAAAGTTTCTTTATCTTTCTTTTTAATTATTGTACACTTATCATTCGTTATTTATCATTAATCTCAGATAAGAAGATACAAAATTCGTTTAACAATTGGTCGACAAATGTTTTTACGCAAATAATCGCGTAAAATTAACATTTACGATAGACGAGAAGTATTCTCATTTCTTTCGATGAGTTCGTCTAATGAATTAGAAAAAAAAGAAAAAAAAAATAGAAGAATAAATTTGCGAATAAAAAAAAATTGCTTAGAAATGTTTTTCCACTTATTTCTTCTAGACTGAAAGAAAGAAAGAACGAAAAAAAAAAGAAAAAAAAATATTAGATTTTACTTGCAATTTTCCCATGCACCGTTAGCTGTTTTTTTTTTTTTTTTTTTTTTTCTATAAATTATTCGGCACAACGATATACACAGCACGAAATCTAACGTTCGATCAAAGAAACCCCAAACCCCTTAATTCCCCTTTACCCTTCTCACACCCTTACTTCTGTTGGATTCGTGCCTCGGAATTTCGGTTTCAAGGGATAAGATAAGACAGTAGTGTGTGGTGGCAGATTCTGCGCATTATCGGCTTTTCGTATCTCACATCTAATGCATTTTGAATTTTTAAGCGTAAACATTGCCCATTGGGATTACGAATATCGTTTCTACATAATCGAATCTTCTATGAGATAAAACTTCGATTCTTATTCCTAGAGATATCGGATGGTTTCTTCATTTTGGATCTTTCATCGATTTCTTTTTCATTTATTTTGTTTCTAACTCGTGGTGAGTAATATCTCGTTGATATTAAAGTAAACGAACGTTCGAGTTACGTCATTTTATACAATTCTTTTTTTAAAAGGGTCATATAATTCAACAATTTTGAAAAAAAAGAAAAAAAATGATATTTCTTTGTGTATATATTGATTGTACGTACGTATTTAAAAAAAATGTAATATAAATTTAATGTAAATTTTAATTATAGATAGAAATGAGATGGTAATAGATACACGATTAGTAATTCTACAAAAAAAAAAAAAAAATAAATAAATAAATATATTGAAATAAAGTAAGTAAAAAGTTTAAAGTTAAAGGTAATTATGATACTTAAACTTTAAAAACGAATGATATTTTTAATCATTGACGTAATAGTTTTTATTCAAATTCAAACATTCCATATATACAGTGTAAGAGAATGTGTATTCGTATTTTATTTTTCCTTTGAAATTTGTAATATTAAAAATAACATTTGTACGAGTAACAAAGAGAGTTTTTCAAAAGCATCACATGTTAGCTAATTATTTTTATTTTTAATTAGTTTTTTATTAATTAAAAGTACAATAACAAAGTAGAACCTAAAAACTGTATAACTGAAACTCATCGAAAAAAAAAGAAATTCTAAAAAAAAAGTACTCTTTTATTTTTTTTTTTAATCACTTGATCAAAGCATCTGTATAAAAAAGGTACAAAAGAATTCTTTACTGTCAAAGTAAAAGCATGGTGTAGTTAACGAAATCAAAAAAGGAAAGATTATACATAAACAGAGTATGTATAATATATATGATTATATTTATTATATATAGACAGATGATTAAGATTTGTATCGAAATGTTTAAGTTCATGTTAATGAGGTAACTCGAGCGTATCATAACACTAATAAATATGGAAAAAAGGAAACAAGTATTGTAAAAAAAAAAAAAACACTTCGGTGAATATTAATGATCACTCATTTAATGCTTCTGACGAACCTGGATGCTCATAAATTGAAATTCTGAGTGTTCAGTGAAGCAGCTTTTAACGGAACGTCAATAATTCAATAGATTTGTTTTCATTATTTTTATCAGTTTCATTTTATACCAACCTTCTTCTTCTTCTTCTTCTTCTTCTTTATACTCGACCCTGTTCTCGATATTTTTATTGTATGCATTAATTTTGTTTCAATTTTATATATTGAGTACAACTTAACCTTTACATAGTTATTCTTCGTAGGTTGTCGTTGTCCTTTAAAGTTAAAAGATACATCCAATCACGAAGATTTATCGCGATCGTGATTATTATTATTATTAACCTGTTTCTTTTATTATTATTTTGTATTATAACTCTGGACAGATCTTTCAAGATCACATTCTTTTTTCCTTCTTCTTTTTATTTATCATTTTTCTTGTCATAAGCAAAGACTACAAAAATTGACAAAATTCATTATAACCCTTTATTAATGCATTCATTGGTTTATCTGAAATTTATCTGAAATTTGAAATCAACGTAATATTATCATTCGAGCTTCTTAAGTTAATTATAAAAATGGAAATAATGTTGATAATCTATTATGATCGTTTATTTTTTTTTTTTTTGTTACGAAATTTAACGAGAAAACTAAATTGTTTTATACATATATAGATATGTTAGAACAAATTGCACGTTAATTTATATATTAAATATTAATATATAATAATATTTTGCTACCACACGTATTTAAGGGTTAATAATACTTTTCAGATGAAAGCTCGATCTATGAAATTCTATCCAGAGCTGAACGCAATACACAAATTATTCTCAATTACATTCCTTTTTTTTTTTTTAATAACAAGCAAACATTCGCAACAAGTCCAACTCATGTCCTTACCTTCCTATTATTATTATTATTATTAATATTATTAATATTATTAATATTATACACAACATTATCTCATCTCGACACGATGAGAGAAAATGAACTCTATTATAAATAGAATTTCCCTAACGAAAACCTTGAAATGTACAATACATCAGCGTCATCGTTTTCCCCATGATCGAGCCATATATTTCCAGCCGAAGAAAATGAATATCGTAATGTAAGAAAGAAGCGGAGAGATATTAGGTTCGATGAACTCGATTCGCTATTTATCAAGTTTTCTCCTTTCTATCAGGCTTTCACCCCTTGAAGAGTCACGCTCTTGTGGTCAGTAGGTAGTGTCTCTTGGAATGGGCACGATCAAAGGAGATTATACGCAGGCTAGATCGAGGCTGCTCTTGTTCGTCCGATGGGACATGAAAGCCTGTTAGGGTTGAAAGAGAGCCAACAGGCAAGTAGGCAGGTAGGCAGGCAGGCAGGCGGGCAGGCAGGCAAGTAGGATGATAGAGTGATGGTGGTTGTGTTGGTGGTGGTGGTGGTGGTGATAGAAGGGTGGTGAGTAAAGCGAATACCAACCAGTAGCAAGCAGGTTAGTCGATAGAAAGGGGTAGGTGGAAAACTCGTTGGAGGTTCACAACGAGGCAGGGTAAGAGGAGAGCAAAGAGAAGATCGTCGAGGGGTTGTCGGGGTTTGCTAGGTGGTCGGGAAGCAACGGATTTCGTGCTAGGATTTCGTGCCTGATCGTTCATCACGTCGCTCGATATCGCTGCACTGTTCGGTTCCGCCGAAGGACAGCTTATCGGTGCGTTCATCGTGTCGTTGCTACCGATGCTGCTGCTACTACTATCGTCTCGAGTGCAACGACTTGCTTGATGGGCTAAGCAGGCAGCGTACGAGATCGCGTGTGGTATGTAACTTTGGTCAATGCTGCCTGAGAAGAGGATACTCGCAAGTGGACCAATCGCAAATACTGGCACGTCTTCGCCACCATGTGTCGCCCAAGCACGTGGAACGCCTGCTGTCTAAAAAAGAGAACATACACACACACATTTCTCTCTTAAAGTAACATTGAAGATAATTCAACGATCGTTTAGATTGTTAACTCAAATTTATTATACAAAATATATTAAATATTAATATCCTTGCTTTTGATTAGTTTTTTTTTTTTCCAGCGATACTTACGTATATCCATTGTTGAGTATATTGAAAAGAATACTTTAATAGAATAATAATATATGATAATGAATTTACAGGCAATAGAAATCCTATGTAATGTCAATTTTATTTCGATAAATAAATATGATAATAATTAATATCAAAATTTCATCCCATTTATTCAATCAAATTAAATCATCAAGTTAATGAAGCGTATCGTATTGAATATCATAATAATGGTTTGAGCTATTATAATGGCGGACGTATTATATCCGATAG